TGAATATAAATGTAATTTATTATATCACTCACTATGAACTTGAATAAGTCTATTTGAATAGTATTGCAGACAAAAGTAATAACTCTTGACTTCTAATGGTTAATTAAATAAAACTTTGCCGACAACACATTTAGAGACTTTGGCGATGACCCCTTTAACTTGTTGTCCATCTTTGGCACAGTAAAGTGGATCAGCATGCGGAAATGGAGCTTTCTATGTGTACTGAATCTCAGTGTTTTCAGCAACAATCAAGTAACACAACTGATGGCTGACTTTTCTTTCCATTCATTTGATAGCTGTTTTATGTCCTTTTTTGCATCAGCCTTAAAGGATTAAACAATTAATAACTGTACTAAATGGTAGCATGCACTTTGCATGGCTATGGGATGTGAATGTTCAAGACAACGCCTGAGCTGACCTTTCTTTTCTCCAGTAGTTAGGCTGAACATTCAGAACGTTTAATCACAGGACCTGTGGTGAGACAGTTTTAGGGATCACTTAAACCATACAATCCACTATATGACTTCACTTCTGGGTATTTTTCCATCCCATCAAACTGACCCTGCCCTTTTTAATTTGCCTATATCTGGAACACTATTTGAATAATATAATGCAATATAATAGTGCAAAATACAATGCAAAATTGAACTCCCTATGAGGCCTGTGGCTCAGCTACGGAAGCACTTATTTTATTAGTTACTTGACATTCCATGTTTGTGTAGAGTATGTGGAATGATGACAGGCACAGATGCACACAAAAGCACACCTATACAGACACAGGGCTGTAAACACAAGCACAAGCAAGTCAGCACTTTCCATTCCTTGCAGCACATTTTAAAGGGTTAAATCTGATATTCATTGGAGTCTCTCTCTCTCTCTCTCTTTTCTTTTCCTCTCTCAGGTAGATACTGACCAGAGGTCTTGCTGATTCAGCCATTTGTCCCAATGTATGATTACCCCACAGACATAGACAAGCTCTGATAAAAGACATCTATCCAGCTCTCCTAAAACTCAATCTCAACCCGATAATAAAATCAATTCAAACCACCGCTGCCGGCCTCAATACCAGCAGAGCCTTACACTGAGTTCCAGCTTTCAAGCTGGATTCCTTACGAGTCAAAAATATGAGATGACTGAAGCTGATTGTGTTCTTTCACTTTTTGTCGGTCTCCACAGCCTTATCACCATATACACCTACCATCCGCTTCATTAAGTACACCTTCTTGTATCTATACTGTTAGAAATTCAGCACCAAGAGTCAGGAGACTGGAGCTTCAGCGTTGACTGGAGTTTATGGGTACAGCGTGGTCGATCAGCAGTCAATCAGCAGGATCAGAAGTCTAGTCTTATTCACGTGCATGCAGACAATCATGCACGGGCACAGCTTGGTCATCAGTGTGTCACCAGTCTGGTCTGGTCACCAGTCTAGTCTAGTCCAGTCTGCAGTCCAGTCTAACAAGAATATTTTGGAAGGACCTTATATACTTTGAAAAACTAAAGAGGGGGAAGGGGGAACAAAAGGACTTTGAGGAGGGGTAAGGAGGAGTTGTAGACGGGGGGAATGAATAGAGATGTAGGGGGCAGAGATAAGGGGGGGGGTGATAGTATCACCTTAAGGTCGTGAGACGAAGGGTCATTTAAATACAAACAAAGGAGGGAGGGGGCAAGGTGAGAGTGTGACAGTTATCACTACTTCTGCCATTTGCTCTCTACAGTGAAAATGGTTTAGACCTTAAGAAAATAACATAAGGGAAAATACTCAATCTCTCAATACCCTTTTTGTAGTTCTATAGTTACAGACTGTAGTCCATATGTTTTCTGCATGCTTTGTTTAGTTTTATTCTGTTCTTCAAAGGTCACTTGAATCCCACAGGACCACCAAACAGCAGGTATTATTTGGGTGGTGGATCATTCTCAGTACTGCAGTGACACTGATGTTGTGGTAGGTTAGTATGTGTTGCGCTGGTATGAGTGGATCAGACACAACAGTGCTGCTGTAGCTATTCATTTTTTATTAAATCCAGCAGCACTGCTGTGTCTGTTCCACTCGCACCTATGCAACATACATGTCTATCTATCTATCTATCTATCTATCTATCTATCTATCTCTCTCTCTCACTCTCTCTCTCTCTATATATATGCATATATATATATATATATATATATATATATATATTATATATATATATACATACACATATATATATATATACACATATATATATATATATATTTACACATATATATATATATGGTTTTATAACATGTTTCTGGAGGATTAGCAAAAATTGGCTGTGTTCTGAAAAATCCTCAGAATCAGCTAGGATTACTTTCTATTGTAGACCCAAGGACATTGTAGTCAGCCCACAGCACACTGTAGCACTCTGCAGAACTGCTAGATGTGTTAGGATATGAATCTAAGTCTTTGTTCAGCGTGTGTGTGTGCACTCGCATTGCATGCCCTCAGACGGACTGGATTTCTCAGTGTCTGTTTTTGTTATATGACAAAAAGAGAGAAAAAGAGCATCTTTTTTCCATGCTTTAATGATTCCCTCCCTCTCTCCTCCTTAAAGGGAAAGATGATAATAATCAGAGTATCTGTCAGTATGCTGTTGACAGAGGCATCCATCTGCAAGGATGTGTTCTGAGCAGCTACACATAGATCAGACAGAGAGAGTGAAAAACATGGAGAGCCAGAGACTGATGTGCTGCATCCACAGCTATGTAATTATTCTCATTATGTCAAATAACTGTGCCAGAACAATAACCATGCTTTCACAAAAGAGCCCCAAACGTCCATCTGCTCTCTGCAGCTCTAACCATGTGACACAAACAGGAGAGAAAAGGAGGGAAGGAGAAGACAAGGCAGTTCACTTTATACAATGGGGTAGAAAGTTCACCTCTCTGCTAGATGTGTAGACTTTGCTGCAGTATTTCTGCATTTAAATGAGAAAAGCCAAAAGCTTCATGTTATTTCCACTTGACACACTTGTCTGAACAAAACACAGCCATCTATATGGACACAGTGGATGACATATATATATTAAAGTGTCCAACACCTCTAGTTTCCGAAGCTAAATGTTTAAATGCTCTAGGACGTCTGCAACAGAAATGTAATGCACAGACATACATTCTCATTTAGAGGGCCGATTTATTACTTTTTCTTGTATTTTTCCAATTATGACAGCTGAGGTCCACTTATGAAGTCTGAGGTCCATTTATGGTATTTGAAGTCCACTTATGGCATTTGAGTTTATTTTCCAAAAACAATAATAATTTTGTTATGACACATTTCAACCTCTATTCATCTCTTAAAAATAAATCGTGTTTTTCTGTTCTTTTTTTTACTTTTTATTTAAAAAGTTGTTTGTGTTGTTCGTGAAAACACTTGTTTAGGTAATGAGGCTTCAAGCGCTTAAGCATCAGCCTGTAAGTCAAAATGTCTTTTAGATTATAAAAAACATTTAACATTTAATCAAGTGGGTCTAAAATTTTGACTGGCATTATCTGTAAATGACCTCTGTTCTGAAGAAAGTCCAGGTTGAAATGCTCCTTAAATAAATAAACAGATATATTACACATATTTTGTGTTTAGATTCCACATCCAGGTTTTTATTTCTAGAAATTAACGAAAATTTGATTTTCACCTACATGCTCCCTTTAATCAATTAACCTCAGAAAGACCAACACTGATGGTAAAGATACGTTCACCCTATTTTCAACTGCTCCTGTCTGTTTGCAGGCTGCATACTCTATACAGATTCTGGTCCTTGCGTTTTGCAGCAGTTTTGCTGTTCACAGTGAGGTAACAGATGAAAGGAATGGCCTCCAACAATTCTTTAGCAAGTGCTGAACTACCATTATTTAAACACAAAGTTTTATAACTACAAAGACATCCTCAGGTCCAGGGGGCAAAAGCGCTTTCAGACTGATGGGTTCTTGCCCAGAAACTGGTCAAAGCTGCAAGCTACTGGACCATGTACACTGATATACTGTGCTCCTGAATACTTGGACATAGGAAAGTATATTCTTTCTCACGCTGATGTAGCCAACAAATATTACAGCTGTTATAACAAGGTTAGAATAAAAAAGGTCGAATAACAAACATTTTTTCTTGTCTAGAAAAGTGTCTCCCGAGCTGGTAGCAAGGTGGAGGCATTCAACTGAAATTCATGCTCTTATTCAGGCTAAGACACGAGCATTCCAGAGTTGATTACGTACAGTACATGATTAACTGCGGGAATTTTTTGTCATTGAACATTGTTGAAGAGTTGTTACATTCTGCTGTCATGTACTAAGCAGCTATGCTGCTGCTATGAAGAAACTGTAAAATATTGCATGTGACTGGCATTACATCTGTGTGAATGACCCAAACTAGTTTACTTTTGTATTGGGTGTAACCTTACAAACAACTGTATGAGCGTGTGAAAGAGAACATCAATATACAGTTGTATGCACAAGGATTAGTACCCCTGGTATGACATTTTTCAGAAATTTTTATTTTGCTGAGATTAACATATTGGAAAAAATATATAAATGTACCATAACTTACGCACAGGTCATATTGTATGTTTTATTTTTCCAATATGTTAAATTTAGCCATTGACCTGTAATTAATCATTAAAATGTGTAGAAGTGCGTTCTCTGTTTAGGATGTGTTAACTGATTTTCATTTAAAAAATCAACAGAATTTTGTCATTTGACCAGAGGTGCCCAAACTTTTGCATACAAACTGTATGATCTTTGTCAGTAGCTAATTTACAGTATGATCATAAGCTTATATCATCACTGGTTAATATCACTTGTAATAATCACTTGATTTCTCAATGCTGTTTTCTCAAAGCTGACAACAGCAGGATACTAAATCCAACTCTGACAAATGTCAATGTGATAAACTGTTTTTTTGCAGTGGAAGATTCGCATAATGAGAAAGAAAATGTCTAATCGGATTTGCAAGCTTGCAAAAGACAAAAAGCAAAGAAAGAATGATCTATTTTTACCTGTGCACTTCTTAGGGCTGCCAGGACGTTTGCCATGCATTCCCAACTTGCATCCAAAGTTCTCCTCCCAGAACTCGGCAAACCACACATTCCTCCGGTTGTTGGATAAGGAGCGGCTTCTGAAGTATCTGTCAAAAGCTGGGAAGGGGGGAGAGGGATTGAAAAAGATGTACTAATGCCTCTTTCTAAGGAAAAGCTGTGATGTTAATAGTATCTTGAGAGACACTGAAGACGAAAATGAATTTCATATGAAAACTGGTAAAAAGGTATTTATTATACTGTAACCCAGACATCATAAAGAGTAACCCTAAAAACAGTTACAATCACAACCTACTGCTACCACTTTGTGTAGGTCATTATGTATAATAGGTGGCTAAAGTATTGTAACTTTTATTGAGTTTGAGGTGACCAAGCCTACAGCACTATACCATCAACCGAAGCTCTTTTAGGCAGAATGGTTATGGCTCCCTCAGCCACTTTCTCCTGCTGAACCACGGGGGAGATCTTCGAGCCCCAACTGTCAGACCCCACCCAGAGGAAATGATCTGTCAGATTGTTTCTCTTGGCAGCATTAAGGATGCGTCTGAAAAATAACCAAACATAGGCCTTCTGAATGCTACAAGTATGTCATGTTTAGGACATTTACTCAAAAGCACATTCATACATTTTCTTCATGCAGGGCTGGATCAAGTTTATTTGTGACTGAAAGCTGAAGTTTACTGTACAGATTTCAAATTCCACCTTCTTTAATAATGCCTGCAGTGGATAGGAGAGAGCATTATGTAAGGTGCTCGTAAAGGGCTCCATCTCCCAGTGGTAAAAGAGAATATGCAACAGTGCTGAGCTGCCCTCATAGGTATAGGAAGTTTTATTGGGGGAAAATGGTGGGAAAATCTTCCCATGCCTATGGCATTATATGAAATAACCTACTTCACCATCATTCATAACTTTACAATATTTCTAACATATAGCTTCCCTCAGTGATTCCGGCAGAACCTTCATAAAATGCTGTAGAGGGTCCTTGTTGGTTAATTTTCAATCACATATTTATTGTAACTTAAAAACAAAAACAAGGCAGCACTTACAAATAGTTGCACAAACAAATTATAATAAATAGTAATAGATAGTATAAATAGTAAATAGTAATAAATAGTAATAAATAGTGGTGTCAATAATAACATGCCAACAAGGTTAACATGACAAATTATTAACAACATAAATTTTCTTAAAGTTGTTAACACACTTTCCTAATTTGACCCTTTAGCTGTATTTTCACCCTGAAGCTCAGCTGCTCACCTGCTGTATGTTGCCATAATGAAATATGTGGCTCTCTTTTGAAAAGAGCTTTTAAATGCCAGGTTCCATTGATGGCTATCTTGATAAATCAAAGTTAGTTCCAGCTACTGTAATGAAACTGTTTACCATGCAAGTCTTTCAAGGACACCTTCAGCAGACTATACTGGACAGTGCTCTTGGAAAAAGTACGGATAAACCAACAACCAGCAAACTAACAAAAGCAACAGCAAAGTGGAAATCTACAGTTACTCTCGAAACAAGACGTACCATAGCAGTATAAGAGCAAGAGGCTACAATCACGGAGGAGTTGGAACCTTTGACTATATGTATGATATACACACTCATTGGTTAGAACAAGCAGCCACTGTTGCCCTCACTGAATGTTGGTGATGAAAACTGGAATTCAGTCTGCATTCAGTCTATGGAAATCACATGATTTACAAGCCCAGATTCATGTGGAATAAATGCATTCTGATGAAGGTATTTTGTGCACTCATATAGCTATAATAAAATACACTGCTTATTAAATGAAAAAACATTTGAGCAAATAAGGCAAATGTCATTAATCACAACTAACTGCACAAAATAAGGCGATTAATTGCAATTCATTATTTTAATCATTTGACTGTTCTAGTCATATTATATTATTATAATAATATATAATGCAGCATTCTGTTTTTTTTTTTTGGTATGAACAGATTCTTGGCCATATCTGAAGCCAGTCTTTGTCTTGAAAAGGGCAAATTCTAATTGTGAGACACACCTGATGTCGTCCTCATTTGCAAACATGATGATGGCACGAGCGTTGGGGGTTTCCAGCAGCCGCAAGATGATCTTGTCAAACTCTCCTGGTCTGGGCTCTCTGGGGACTTTCAGAGACTGTGCAATACATACACCACCTGAGAGACAGAGGATGTGGGAGGGGTAGTTGGAGAGATATAAAGGCAGAGAGAGAGCAAAAAAGAGTGGGTAAATGAGAGGGAATGGTGTGCAGAGGGAAGTGAGAACAGAAGCACAGGAGAGGAGGATGTAAGGGAGTGTGGGAGGCAGAGAAAAAGGGGAGATAATGGGACGTTGAGAATGAAATTGTGTGAGAATGATAGTATGAGAGGCGTAGAAAGTGACAGACACAGGAAGAAAGGAAGAAATAGAGAAAGAGCAAAACAGGCAGAGAATGACAAAGCGACAGAAAGGAGATGTGAGAGGGTCGAGAGAGAGGGAAGACGAGAAGGCCCGCTTCAGAGTCTGATTTATTTAAATCAAGTACACAATGCATACAAATTAGAGAAGGAAAAAGAACAAACATATTCTGTGTTACCCTCACCGGATAGAGAACGATATGTTTAGATTCAAATGACACCTGATAGCGCCACCTTGCCCAAGGTGTCTCAGAGCATACAGTGGCATCAAACACATCTCATCTTATTTATTTGCCCTAATGCACTTCAGACAGAGCGAGGGTCTACTTCACAATTCAGCATAGAGGACATTTGCAGATCTCCCCATATACACAAAACATCTTAACATTCCTGTGATAGCCTTTTCAACAAGAGGGTGACTTAAACATCTGAAAATTTCTGGGAATTTATGGGAATGGTGAGGGGATGTTGATTTCCAACATCTTTCATGTATGCATCTTACTGGTTGACACATAAGCATTTATAAAATGTAGAAATTGACACTAGATCTGGATTATTATTACAGAGAAATAGAACAGTTGTTTCTATAGGGCTACAAATGCAGTAAAATGAATAAAATACTCATGTTTTAGCACTGTAGCCCAGCGTCACCTGAACACTTTGCTCTTCAAGAGTACAATAAACAGTCATCAAATATCGCTTTGATACAGCGGTCAACTGTAAACATGCCTGATACTGCTTTTTTTTAAGCAAATATCTGCAGATACAGATATAATTCCAACATCACTGTGCACCCCTAAAAATGACAAACCTCAGTCAACATTCTGCCTTTTTAAAAGGCTACAAAGTAATAAATACATGATAACAGTGGTTTGTACATAAAGAAAACCTTTTAAATGTTGATCTTGATCTGCACATACATTACTATTTAAATGTTTAGACACATTTGACTGAATGCAGATTTTTCTTTTAAACTTAAAGACATTTGAGACAGATCTTGACATGAAAATGCTTAGATCACTAAACTAACTATCATGACACGTGATGACAGCTGTATGACAGCAAAGCAAAGATGAGTAGGTGAAAGGGTTCGCACTCCTAAGGGGAGGAAGAGACATCACTAAATATTTAAATTCAAGATTAAAAAAGAACACCAATGTTTTCAAACAGCAGGAAACTCATTTGGATAATCTATGGTGTGTCTTGAAGAGAGCGTTTGTAAGTCAGACTATGCTGGCATGGATGGAAAACATAGTAGTAAAACACAGATGAACCTAGTTTTTCACACTCGAAAATGTCCTGGATGGGTCCAGTTTCTTACACTGCTTTTCCACTGAATGGTACAGCTCGACTCAACTCTACTCTACTCACTTTTGGTACCAACTGCAGATATAGTACCCCCTCAATGAAGCTGGTCATCACAGTGATGTCACATGAAACTACTGTGACATGAAGGAAACAAATTTTGCTCAAAAGTGGCTGATGGCAGCAACAAAAACCACTGCTGAAAAAAACCCAGGAGAGTTTGGGAAATATATCAGAGTTCAGACGACAGTATGATTCTGATTGCTCAAAGGCGATGCTAAAGGATATGCTAACCTGGTAGCTATCGTTAGCATGTGTGTTTAGTGATTCTCTCCGACCAATCAGTAGTCAGCGACATTTTTACGTCACCTTTTGGGTTCTAGATACGAGATTTGCCTAATTGAAAACCAAAAAAGGTGAGTAGAGTCGAGTCGAGCCAAGATGGTTCCATGCAGTGGAAAAGTGGCTTTAGGCTAACCAAGAGCGTAGTTGTGGGCATGTAAATGTAGTCATTGACACTACATATGTGCAATACTCTGCAGCTCCTTTTATAAATTCTTCAAAGACCTTTCATACACTTAATTTTAACTTTTTACGGATTGTTGACACTTCCATCTTCATCAACAGGCATTTCATTTACAACTGATCAACAGAACTTAATATGCTAATGAATGGTGTTAATGTTACTTCTCAGTTTCTAGAAATTTGAAATGGTGTTCTTTAAGGATCAATTCTTGGGTTCATATATATTTTGAAATATGAATTAAAATGAAATTGGAAATCTTCCTCTTTTTTCTCTCTCTTACAACAGTATACATGTTATTAGTCTTGGAAAATGTGACATGATTTCCTTGAATGCTCTTCTTTCAAAATTGAATGCTATCATAGCACACTATATCAAGCACACTGATCTTTATTGCTGGATATAAATTTCACATTCAACAACGTGACTTGTATTTGCAAGTGGGCTCACCCTCCCTGAGAATGACAATAAGACACCCTCTTTTTTTGTCTGTTACAGCTTTTCACTGCAATTTCATAGAACAGTGTCCAGCTGCCTCTAACACTACAATGCATCTCAATCATTTTAACCCATATTTCACTTGAAATTTTTGTTGGTTGATCATCTATTCTATTTTTCGTTTTATATTTTGACTTTAATTCTCAGTTTGTTTGCTTTTTTTGTGCACTTTGTAATATATGATCTGTAACTGGAACTATGGATTTTTTAAACTCCTGTATAAACAGTATAATATGCACTCAATAAAAATACCAAGGCAGAAAAGTATCAGCAGAGTTATAAAAGATAAATACAGTCTGAGAAAGGATCAATATTTTGTTCCAACATTTATATTACTTTCAGATCCAGCTAGGTTTGAACAGACAAAACCACTCTGCTGTGCTCTCTTCATTACCATCTTTCTTTATTTCTTCCCTGGCTGTCACTGATGTGTTGTTGGAGGACTGTGTAAACAGCATTTGATTTGGAGACAGGGTGATCTTCAGTGTTAAACGAGAAACCATAATAACCCTCCATCATCTCGCTAGCACTCCATTACACCATTAGCTCTTCTCTCGCTGCCTTAAACACTCATCTCCCCACTGAAGCCTATCTCTCCTTGTTACAGTCCATTTAATGAACAGCTGTGGTGGCTCCATTCTTTCTGTGTACCCGTCCCTACTGCTCCTCCAGTGGCTGCGTTTCCCCAAAGCCATCTAGTGATTATGCCAAATGGATAGCCTTTCAAAGATAATTGTGTGTCTTCAGTGACTCCTCAATCATCATTGTTCTCCTTTGTTGTCACCTCAGTTATCATTATGCAATTGGATTTCTATATTATCATAAGGTTTGGATTTGGGTGAACCCTGTGGTGGGGATGTGTGACAAGGTACACTGGGATTTCTTGGGCACAATAGAAGGTTAGCTGTATAATCTAGTCCTATGAATGGAGTTAGTATGGTCCACTGGGTCCTTAGATATCCTCTGTGTAATCTACTGCCATATGGGTTTCATTCACTCACTTGGATCAGATCTCTGTCTTGAGACATGCATCTATCGCTCATCCAATGCCATTATCTCCAACATGCAAATTAGTATAAACAACACCATAAGCTCCTATATATTAATTGATCAAAGAACCATGCCTATGAGTCCAATCACAATGGTCACTGCTTTAACATCTTCTTAGCAGGAGTGTAACAATATAGACTGTCATATTAAGGTATGCTCCGATACCACTTTTTCCTTCTGATACCTGATCCTCAATGTTCTTTGTCAAAAAATAAAATAAAACATACTTGAATGAATGGCACTGTATTTCAGTGCTAGTATTGGTGTAAAGTCTGTTCATTTAAATAGGAATTTCACTGAAACATTCCTGTAATGTACGTACATTTTCAGGCACTTCTTATTTTTGGTGAGTTAAAAACACCGCTGCACTGTATTGTATTAAAACCAATAATGAATTTCATGAATCGTTCTACCTCTTACACCTGTTCCTCTAACAGAATGCTCTTATTCAGAAGTGTGGTAAATGGTTATTTTCTTTTCTTTTACCTTTTATTTCACAACAATGAAACACACTATTACTCTTTTCAGTCCAATGCTAGCTTCAGGCTTAAGGACCATCTAAAAATTACCATAAGGAACCGTGTTGCTATTGTTATTATCATATCTAAGTATATCTGCTCATGCTTCCAGAAGCAATGGAGATGTATCCAGAAGCATTAGCTGGTGTACTAGAGACTACTGCTGCTACTACAAATAATATTAACATACATAACATCAATAAAGGCAACATTTTAAGACAGTCCCTGGCACTGAAGTGGAGTGAGGTTTCATTTTTATCAAATAAAAGAACATAATAAAAACACAGTTCAGTCAAGGTTGTGTTTGTAGTATATTGTTATCTTTCATTTGGCCACATTACTGTAATTAGTCCAGTAATGAAGAACGGAAGCGCAAATATCACATGAACTTTACTACCTGAAGCTTAGCCTGATGCCCTTTTCTCTGAAGCCATTCCACATGAAGCTGTGGCTGTAGTATTAATGAAGGATGTAACATCACACAACATGCTTAAAAGTTCAGTTATATTCCTATACGGGAATACTGGTGTCCTGCTATGGTTCACATTAATTTAATCAATAAATGAATGACACGTTTTTCAAAGGGTAAATGAGTTTTTACTGTCCCTGGGTGCGGTCACCATGGTAACTCAGTTACCCGTCAGTTGGCACAGGCCTAACACCTCTACTACTTAGGTATCTAATTTTTTCTTCACTGCCAAATCTGCATGGACAGTTGGAGGCTATACCAGTCACAGTGCCCCATGTCAGAGTGCTGTCACTATCACATCTACAACAGTGCTCGAGGCACATTGTGCTTTTGTAAGCATGCATGTCACGGCCAACTGTCCAAGAGCACACCACCAAAAATCCCAGCCCAAAATAGA